AGTGTTTCTAATACAGTGAACTTGTATTTGAAACTTTGGCAGGTTTCAGATTTCAGCATTGGCCTGTGAGCCTGAAGGTCATGGGTTTGAGCCCTGCATGCCTTGATGTGTATATGTGTATGTGTATGTGTATTCATCAAACTGAAATTTTCCCACTGTGATACGAATAAAGGACCTTCTTCTTCTTATTTTATCCAGCTCTGCTAATGTGACGCCTTCTGTGGGCATTTTCAAAATGGCCGCGGGACAGGAAAATATTGAAACACATTAGTTAGTTAGTTGGTACTAGCCCAATTCATTTTACGATTTGACGAGTACATTCTTTGTAAAGTCTATAGAGCCTAAACTAGACTGGTCCAAAAAAAACTCAGCATTGACACACATCAGGAACGTAGCGTTGGGCCAATAGCCAACTTTTGGACCATCCTGTAAAGCTGTTTTCCAGAGGAAAAAAGAAGACGCCATACAAAAGTATTGGGTAATTCTCTTTCTGGGTTCACCCCACCGGCTAGAAGTGAGATTGCAACCATGTCAGCACACGTGCTCATGGACCTTTTTGAGCCAGGACCTGGCTCCACTGGTTTAGACCCGGGGGACTCCAGTACCTCGGATTAGATCTAGGGGACTCCAGCACCAGGGTTTAGACCCCGGGGACTCCTCCTGCAGACGTCATGCAGCATTTCTGCAGGGGGTCTAGTCTCCAAACCTTAATGTATTTTTTTAAGGAAATACATCAGTCAATCCTCAGGCGTCTGTCGAGGTCTAATGTCTGTCAGCTGTTACAGTATATGGATACAAAGTTTCCACAAGACAAGATCGAAGTAAACAATATTTCCACATGATTCACATCGGAGCGGAGATCTCACAGCAGTGTGCACCATGGTTCAGGATGTCTTGCTCAAGGACACAACAGCTGCACATCAATAGGAACCGGGCTCAGTCGATCTGATGGCTCAATCATGTTTATTTAACTGTCCTCTGCACCTGTTGTAAAGACCAGCTCAGTCTTATAAAGGATCTAACCCCCTTTATATAAATACAACATATTAGTTCTATCAACTTTGCTTTCACTGATTGCACAGATTTCTCTACATCTCTCTGCCTCCATCATTAACTTATTCATTGTGCATTTCAAATGATACTTCCAGCTGTACTAATGTCTGGTTAAGATCCAATTCGGTTTACAACCCATTAGGGTTGTAAAACAGAATCAACTTGTCCGACATTAACCCAGGCCCAGTAATGTCTAGGTGTCTTGAAAATGGAAGAGTTCAGAATGCCGTTTGAAAAACGTCTTCATACACAGGGGCCCCACGGTTAGCTCCATGCCCTGTGGTTCAGATGTAATTATTGTTGTGTCATAGCTGAAGAGGCCCACAGATTTGTCACGGAGCTTATATCAGTGTGGATCTGCTAATGCTGCATTAGCAGAGCATTTGCAGAAAGTCTATTGGGCTAGCCTGGTCGTACCTCACCATAGTACAAATTACATTTCGTACTGAGGTCTGGATGTGTTCTATAGATCTCAGTTAACAGGAGGGAGGGGTTAACTCTTTTTGCAGACTGAAACGATTAGATCTGAGTTTACCGTGATGTATGTAATGTGTCTGAGGGAGACGTTAGCAATTAGCATTTAGCCTAGCCATCTACTTTGTCGCTAACGGAGCCTGTGGGGAGTGGCACCATGACCTGGGCCTGCTGTTTGAGTTTGTTAATCTGTGTTTTTTTGTGCTGGAGGTTCTGGATCACATATTTCAGGACAATGTTCATCCTGCTCCCTATGAACCAATCCTTTGTATTTGGAGTTATTCCATAACCCTGTGTTCGAACTGTTGGATTCTTTGATTTGTCATTGGCAAATCCACAACTTTTCTTCTGCGTTTAATAAGATGCAGCCCCACATCCTGATGCTGTTTTTAATTTGCCTGACCAGCTTCTTTTATTGATTTTAAATTTTCTCACGGACAGGATCCAGCGAGTGCTTGTGAATGGTCAGATGTCCCCAGTGTCCATCTCTAACACAGGATCCCCTCAGGGGTGTGTTATGTCCCCTCTGCTGTTCATACTGTACACAGACAGTTGCCGGGTCACTCAGAAGAACAGATCCCTGGTTAAGTTTTCAGACGACACAGTCCTGGTGTCTTTACTCTCAGGATCTGAAATGAACCACGGCCCTGCATTGACAGAGTTTGTCCAATGGTGCGACAGCAACTACTTGGATCTAAACGTCTCAAAAACCAAGGACATGATTATTGACTTTAGACGCTCCACAGCGCCCTCTCTGGGCAGCAGTGTCATCCATGGTGAAGGGGTGGAAGTGGTGGAGAAGTACAAATATCTTGGTTCTTGGATGGACAACAAGTTGCGGTTTGACGCAAATACAGACTCCGTTTTTAAACGCGGTCAGCAGAGAATCTATCTTCTAAGGAAGCTGAACTCTTTTAATGTAAATAAAAGGATTCTCTGCAACTTTTACTGCTGTTTTATAGAGAGCCTATTAACATTTTCATTTGTTTGCTGGTTCAAGGGTTTGTCTGTGAAAGATAAAAACAAACTGCAAAACATTATCAAAATCTGCTCTAAAATTATTGGTGTTAAACAAAGAGACCTACAGTCTCTTTGGGAGGAGCAGGCGCTAAAGAAAGCTAAATGTATCTTGGGTCAGCCTCTCCATGCTCTGTCCTCTGAGTTTTCGCTCATGCCTTCTGGACGTCGTTTTTATGTACCCTCTCGGAAAACAAATAGTTTCGCCAACTCTTTTGTCCCCTCTGTCACTAAACTGTTGAATTCTGAAGGGAGTGTGTTTATTAAGTGACACCGACCTTTGTGAAATGTGTCGTTTTCTTTTAATTATTTGCTATTGTCTGTACTGTTGGAAGTGACACACAGTGAGTGTTGTGATGTGTTTGTACAACATCTGTCGGAGGTTGCAGCAAATCAATTGCCCTTAAGGGATCAATAAAGTTTTCTGAATCTGAATCTGAATCTTTCTAAAGTGCTCCGAGACAACGACTTGTAATTTAGGGCAATACACTTATAGATTGAATTGGAAATGTTATCCTGGTTTAATAAAAGATTTCTAAAGACAGAATTGACTTATCACAAAACCCAGTCTCACTGTGATCTTCAGGTGATAGTGTCTCTCTGATCTGTCACATCTTTTTATTGATAATTGAAAAGTTTGGAGAAAGTTTTGGAGAAACAGAAATGAAAGAAAACAATTTTTGTTGTTGTAGCAGTGCTATTCACGTGACATCTGGCCTCTTCCTACCTGGATGAAGGCTGCGCTGACTTGGCCAAATTAGTTTTATTGTGCAAAAAGACCTGAACTTTGGCAAAATGCGCAGTTCTCAACTGCAGTTCTCAACAGTTCTCAACAAAACTCAAAAACCAACAGGCAAAACAACATCTTCGTCAAAGAGATGCACCTTTCCTTCGCAGACTCACACAGGTTTACTTACAACACAATATGAATGAATAATTAGATAAAGCTCAACATAAGGGCTCTCCTAGGGGCCCCTGGCTGCGTCCCACTGTGACATCACTGTGACATCACTTTGGCCCCTGCTCTGCAACCTTGCACAGGTGACTGGCCTTGTAAGTATTCAATAATTTTTTGATGAATCCAACTCTCTTAGAGATATTTTCCATTTGCACTAAAACCACAATGTGCACTCAATGTGCACCCATAGACTGTATATATTAATGGACAGAGTCCCGCCTATCTCCGCCGTTCTAACTAATGGGCTAAAAAATTTGCTCTACTGGAGCTATCCAAAATGGCCGCGAGTGGTCCCGCCCACAAGAAAATTGTGAAAAAACGCATCTGCGCATGCGTCAGCTGGCGCAACTCCATTCATTTGAACGAGAGACTTCAAAAATTCACAGCAAGTAAACTAGAGTGGACCAAAAAAATCCACCCCTCTCAGCATTGACACACATGTGGAACGGAGCTTTGGGCCAAGAGCCAACTTTTGGTCCATCCTGTAAAGACGTTTTCCAGAGGTCTGCCAATGCTATATGTTAGCATTGGCTAATTCTACTTCTGGGTCCACCCCCATCGGCCCGGGGTGGTATTGCAAGCATGTCAGCGCACGTCATTTTGGCCACTTTTGAGCTGGGACCCTCCCCCACTGTGTGCACCAGACAAATGTATAAATAAAATAAGCTATAAAGTATAAGAAACAATTGTTACTGTAAGCCCAACCAACAAAAACTGTTACAAGTGCAAAATCATTAACGATGAAAACTGCAAAAATGTCGGGAAGGTTATTATTATTATTTCATTGTTGAATACATACAACACACACTCACACACACTCACACACACACACACACACACACACACACACACACACACACACCATACAGATATACATCCCCCCACTCGCAGACAACACACACACAATAAATGTCAATATGAGAAAGATTTCTGAACAAATATGGTTTTGAAAGAAAAGGATTTGATCCTTTATTCAAATGTCAGTGTCTCATCAAAAGCAAAAACACAAATGAGGACCACACAACATGAGAGAAGACAATACTAAATATAGCATGGGACTGTAATAACATCTTTATCTTTAGCTTAAACAAAGAAATGAAGTATAAACCTGTATAGTGCAGAAATGTATACTTGTATGTAATCTGTACAAATCTGTAACAAACTCTGGTGATAGAATATTAGAATCAGAATCAAAATGTTGTGTATTGCCATTGTAAGTAATAGAAAGTCACAAACTAGAATTATGGGAGTAAGTCATTAGCTTTGAAGGTTAGAATATTCACCATGATGAAATGTGACTTATTTGACCAGTTTTTTTTTATATTTTTTTTTAATCAATGTGTTGTGTCTATAAATGTCAATGTCTCCTATAAAAAATTTAGTTTGGCCCTAGATAATTAAAACAGATAGAAAGTTCCTGTTATCTGTTTTCATGGCTTTGATTTATTAGCGTTTGAAAGAAAGCTTAATAACACTATCTTCTACAGCCCAACCCATCATGAGTACACTGTTATAACGACCGCATTTGAAGCATTCTTTTGCAAAAATAGATTTCTCCTTTTTATAAATGTGTTAATAAAATCTTCAACATGTTCTTTTTTTTTGGCAGAACATTTGAAAGGCTCTGGTACTATCACAGATCTGGCTTCTCACAAAACTTGGTTGAGAGCAGATTGTGAACCTGTCTCTAAGTATGTTTTTTGTGTGCGGATAAACTCTTCATACAGATCAATAAATACTTTCACTTCATGTTTCTTTCCTCTTCTATGATCTAGTGTCCGGTGACGTCACGCACTTTCGCTCGCGCTGTGTCCGCACGAGCGCCGCGCGCACTGCTCCAGTCTCGCGCTGGGCTCACTCCTCCGCGAGCCCGCGTCTGCACAACTACTACTACTACTACTACTGCTACTACTACTGCTACTGCTACTACCACCACATCTACGGGGGGAGGGAGCCACACCGCACACCAGCCGAGACAGCCGGGACAGAATGGGGACTATGCTCTCGCCGTCTCTGGAGGACTAAAAAAAACTACCCACAAACTTGTATCGCGGACCGGAGCCACAGCGGAGAAAGTCGCAGGCTTGTAACTTTGACTCTCCCAAACATGGATACTCTATTCATTTGCCGTGGACTGATTCTGTGTCTCCTCTCCACACCGCTGTCTGGGCAGATTCCAACAGGTAAAGAACTGGGGCTGCTTCATTTCTTGGCAAAAAAAAAAAAAAAGTTGGACTGAGGTGACGCGCTTTCCCGTACACGGCTTTAATGTGTCGCAGGTGTGCCAGCGTGGACAAGCAAAGTTACTCCAATCGCGTTTCTAAATAGTGTTTCAATACAATAATGTGAGTTTAACCCTGTCAGAGAAGCGTGAAGGGAGTTCTGCCACGGCTCGTACCCGTCGCCTGTGGACGGTCGTCGGCTTTGCTTTGAACTGCACGCCTTTGTCAACTTGTTTCCCAGCTCCGGCGATAGACAAGCATTTTGAAAGCTTTCACACAATTAAAAGTTGACATTCCCTGGCTTAATCGCATTGGTTTTTGTCTTAGCAAGACTTTGAATAATGTTTTATTGGCTCCACGCTAATTATACGAACAATAGGAAGCCAGATTTTTCTCACTTTACCTCTATCTTTCGCAAGGTATTTACCACAGACAGAATATATTTACACTTGGGAAGGTGAAAACTGGGTGGACGGTTTGTTTGGCGAGAAGAAAAGCATTGTGCGTCCGCTGCCGGGGCAAAGAACTGGAATAAACTTGTTAATACAACTCGCTGCGCAAGTCTGCATATGACTTTTTACGCATTGACATACTGGCAATATTCTAAAGACAATTTTAAAGCATAGACAAGCCCATGACAGCACCGCGTAGAAGCCGAGGGGGTGTAAGTTAAGCTGAAATTTGTCACTTTTTATCTGGAGATTTTCAAAAGTACATTATTATTACACAAACGCGTCTGAGAGTTATGGGTTCTTTCAGTGGCCGTGGACTGACGAGAGACGCGGCTTGGGCTTTGCAGCTCCCCGCAAACCAAATGACCCGTGTCCGCTCCAAACTCCATTCCCCTCCGCTCGCAATGAAAACTAATGAACGTGAAAAGTGACTGCAGCAACGGCATGTTTGATTAGAGATGTGTGTGTTCGTGCGTGTGCGTGTGTGTGTGTGTTCGTGAGTCTCGACCCCGAGCTGCTACAAAAAAACAGCATCCTTGAGCGCTGAGTCCGTGCGTAATGCTTGTGTTGCTGCTTGTAATCAGGGAAAATTCAGAAGTTTGAGCTGCTGTTGTGAGTCACTGGTTTCGCACGGACCAGTGTTTTCATGGCTTTTGGGGACACTTTGGAGGTCTTGTCGGGCCACATAATGCTTGGATGAAATAACTGGTTATTTTGCTTTTTAGTTTTATGATAGAGCTGGAAACTATCCTGTCTTTGCCGTGTGGCCTGCATGGTTCTGTCTTGTTTTTTGAGTTTCGGCCCCTGACTGTTTGATTCCTATTAGTATTATACATGAAATGGATATACCTGCGTATTTCATATGTCGCCTGTTTGTGCGTATTTTGTGTGTCTTGGGTATGTGCAGAGTGTATTTATAATTAAGATTATTATTTAAAAAAAGTAATGAAATAGGGAAATCAAATATCATGCCTTTTATAACCCAGCTCTCGTTTCAGGCCTCCTGCTTTGAACTGTAAAACCCGTAACTCCTGCCGCATTCACGTATTATAAAGTTGACCCGGTGTAGACATTACGTTCAAGGACGTTTTGCGCGCGATTAAACCCGGGGCATTTCCACAAAGCTGTCGTTTTCAGCTCTTTGCTTTTCTCGCTTTACGATTTGCATAGAAATGAGTCAATTAATTACTCAAGAACGTGTCGGAGCCCGTCCCGGTGCTGCCCCTGCTCCCGTCCCTGCACGCATGGTTGTAGGCTGTTTGCCCCGCTGTCCTCCCCCTCTCCCCTCGCCCGTTCTCTGTACGTGACCATTTGGTGCTCTGGGGTAACAAATGTGAGGAATTTCTTTGAGGCCGCTCTTTGGGAATTCAAGCGCTGTTAATTTGCAAGTAAATACAAGACAACACGCGGCTCCAGTGGCGGGGGAGGCGAACAGAGGGGTAAAGAAGTGGTCTCCAGTCTCCAGTGTGGCGTAACAACAGATGAGGTTTAAAAAGGGAAACCTGGATAACATGACAGAATGTGTTAGTAGCAGAATTTTGAAGCTGGGTGCTAAAACAGGTTATAGTCCATACTTTCTGTACCATTTTATCTAATCATCCAATATGTAGGTATCATTATCTGATTGGAATAGGTACCCCACATCTATAAGATCAATAACCTTGTTTTGCTACTTTGACATGTATTCAGGGAGCTATCAGGAGTCAGTGCATTGGTGGGTTGCATCAGGATCTATTTAATTGAAAGTAAAATAATATTTTTTCAACCTGATCTCGAAAGTACAGCTTTCTAATAGCAGATCCAGCTGTAATCAATTCAAAGCTGTATACATATCTCTGTATTTGTAATATTACCTGCCTGGTTTGCCACATGCAAAACGGATACATCTATCTGCTCTCCTTCTTTTCACACATTTTTGAGCAAATTGACAGAAACACACTTCGTCCTCTGCTCAATGTTGAGAGGAAGTCACTTTGGCTTTGAGACGTCTGTCCTCTAAAAACAACGTCCTTTGTGACATTTACATAAGTCTCCTCATTGAAAGCCATCAGAAAGAAACGCTTCTTCCTCCCACACCGCGAGCCGTCTCAGTGAGTTTATGGTAATTTGACAAGTTGTGGCTCCGATCCCCCACCTCTCTAATCTTACTGAAGTGAAATAATTGTTTTCCGTCGGCCCAGGGAGGATCCAGACCCCACATCTAAGCTGCTTTAATTACGACTCAAAATTATTGCAGTAGTTTTCAACATTTAAGATGTTTTAAGATTGGTTATAATTACTTTCCAGTCTTTTATGTATTTTTTTTTTCCAGAAGAAAGAAGTAAGTAAGTAAGTAAGTAAGTAATGTTTATTTATATACCGCCTTTCACAGACAAGGGTCACAAAGCGGTTTACAATTGTTATTATTATTTTTTTGGGCACTTGTCCTCTCACTCCAGACAGAGATGGGAGCGGGGTCGCCGAACAGAAGGCGCATGCCAGACCTATTGTACATATTTTTAGTGGTAGGGGAAACCGGAGTACCCGGAGGAAACCTACACAGACACGGGGAGAACATGCAAACTCCACTCAGAAAGGCCCTGGTCCGGCCGGGATTTGAACCCAGGACCTTCTTGCTGAGAGGCGAGAGTGCTATCCACTCAGCCACCGTGCCGCCCACGAGAAGTGGGCGGCAGAAGGAATAAGAAGGAATAAATGGGTACGAGAGAGGAGACAAGGGAGAGATGCACAACAAGAAACAGACTGGTTTTGGCTGTGGGCATCTCCGCAATTCTGAGACAAGAAAAGAGAGAGAGAGAGGGAGGGCAGTGTGGAAGCTGGTGTGCGCTTGTGCTATAGGAGGCTGTGATCGACTGCAGTTATGTCTGTGGCCTGTCATCATCATTAATATATTACCTTATCGTTCAATAACCAATGAATGAAAACATATTTTTAGTCTCAATGTTTATCCATGCTTTTCCTTTGCAAAAGTGGACCAATTTTTCATATTTTTTATTTAAATCAGTGACCTTAAGTTAGTTTTCCCACTAGATTTCTGAGTGGTTCCTTGTAGTAGGGTCTAAGGACAGTGATGATCTGGGACATTTCTGGTTTTTCCTGTCTTCAAACTCTCTTGATACACAAATACATTGAATGTAATGCACTATGAGCCAGTCGTGGGGACTTTAGTCAAATATTGATTAATATTGGAGGAGGGTGCTTGTCAAAGTCACCTACATCATGGACAACACCTCCCACCCACTGCACAGGACTGTAGAGGAGCTGAGGAGCTCCTTCAGTGGAAGACTGAGGTACCCTCAGTGTAAGAAGGAGCGCTACCACAGTCCCCAGATCCCCACCGCCGTCAGACTGTACAACAAGTCACTTTAAATCACTGCATTAAGACTGAAAAACCTGCACTACTATTGACACTGTTTCTTGATTGCCACTTTCTAATTTGCCACTTTTTGTACATAATGTATCCTGCATTTAACATGTTTGCACATTTCTATCCTTGCAAATGTGATGTGTACATTTCTCCTGTGTGAGATTTATAAAGTATATCTTATCTTATCTTATTGACACAAAAGCATATATAAGTGTTTAAAATGGCCTGACCCCCAATAGTGAGCACAATTACTAAAATACTGTAGTTGATGATTATTTAAAATTGACCTGTGTTACAGCCCTAAGCACTACTTACGTTTAAAATGTTGGAATATACACAAGCACTGCTTTTGTTAATTTTGTTGATAATTGCAATGTGCTTGCTTTAAGATTTAACCCTTAGAGCGTAATGTGGAGTGGACTAACCCAAAGTGTGACATCACCATAGTGTCAGCTTTGTGAACCAGTTGGACACCACTGGCAGGAACTATAACACATGTACATTTGAGTAGATCTTCAGCCATTTAATAATGTAAATATCTTCTTAAATTTTACATTGTGACAGTGATATATATAATATCTGGTCAGTACAACGCCTTGCTTTACCTTCTCTAACTCCAACATCTTTCTTGTTTTGGTTTCTTGTAATGCAGCCAAGGATGATGAAAGTACAACAATATTTAAATGACGTCCTCCCAAAAGACATAACAAATTCTTGCAGGCTTCAATGGAAAGGCAAAGCCTTCTGATTCTTCCTGGGCCAACCCTAAAACACGGTCAATTCAAAGTCACTTATTCTCCCATTAAAACCCGACAGTCTTCAGTCACTCTGATCGCGGCCACTAAAGTTTCAATCTACGCTCAAAGCCAACGCGTTTCCTCAGATTTCAATTTAAAACCCTTCCCTCCTCCCTCTCCCTTTGAAAGTATATCGTCTCATTTCACCAGTCGCCAGTCATTTGGGGATGAAGTTTGAAGTGTAAAAAGTAATTAATGTGCTGCGAGAAATCATTAGTTAATCCCCCGGTTGCCTGGTGCATGTGAAAGCGAGGAGAGACAGGCCAATGTTTGGGAAAATAACGAGAAATGTTAGAAAGAGGAACCAAGACCAACGCTGGCCTCAAGTCAAGTTTCCATACGATG